TTCTTCTTCTTCTTCTTCTTCTTCTTCTTCTTCTTCTTCTTCTTCTTCTTCTTCTTCTTCTTTGTGTTTCCTTTTTCTTGTGTTGTTTCTTCTTTTTCCTGCTCTCTGCTTGTTTCTTCTTTGCTTATCCTGTTATGAAGAAACCTAGCGCCAACCTAGCGCCAATCTAGCGCTGCCTTGCTGTATCACCATAGTCTGCTGGGGGCCCGCTTCTAAACGAAGACTTAAAACTCATCTCCAACCCTAAAAGTTTACGTTTATCTAAAATTTTTGAGCAGTAGGGCTTTTTGAGTGCAGTCCACATGAACTTTGCCATTCGATTGGCTGCGCTTTGCGCCTCTGTGGTGGAGCACAGGGGCGTTTGGCTTGGCAAGAGAACCTCGGTCGGCTTTTGCACACGCTCTACCAACCGATGGAGCTCCTGGGCCCCATGCAACCCAGAGAGCGTCCCGTTGTCACAGTGAAGTGGTTCAGACCTTGGCCCGCGCACCACAATGAGCACTTCAATCGGTGCCTTTGCTGAGCTGCTTGAAAGACTTAAAGACATAGATTGTCTGCAATCATCTGCGTGGCAAGTAAAATGCATGTGGATACACGCTATCTATGCGTGTATATATATATATATGTATGTGTGTGTGGCATCTAAGAATACAGTGTCACAAAGGTACTGTTGCCACACAGTGCCACGAGGATTTGCTGACGTCGAGTATTCAAAAGGTTCTATGTGAAAAAATCATGATACGTGGAAACTCCTCAACACTCACTACAGGTACATCATGCTCATTGAATACATAGCTGTATGTCTCTGTGTCTTGGAGGAACGAAACCCACGGTCTGAGCGGCCCTTCTCTTTTTGGAACTGGCAGCCCCAAAGCTGCCCCACCATCCGTGGCCAGGGCCGCCCCCATGGGCAGCCGGCAAAGGCTCTCGTGAAGCAGTCTGGAAGCCTTCAATGCCCTCGCTGGTTCATGCACTGTGCCAATGAGATTTGTTTCCACATCCCTTGGCCACGGGCCCAATGATACGGATCTGCGAACTTCAGCAAAACTCGTGGAGGGCTCATATATTGAAGGCTTCCCGAAGAAAAGCAGCGAGGCCTTCCTCCCCGCCCTATGGGCGCCGGGACTACTGCGCAACGGAAAGAGCAACATGGCAAACTCCTGACGCCATCCATTTAACTAATGGACTCCAAAGCTCACGATCATTTGCCGGAAAGGTATGCGCCAATGATACATTAATATGAACTCACTACCGTAGAGTTGGCTATGTAGGGCGCTTGATCTAGAGAGGAGACTGGATCTCCAAGGCTATGTTGGGCAGTTGGGCCAATGTTGAGGCACATTGATCAAGAGTTTGTCTCACCAACCTTGGATAAAGCGGTTGTTGAAAACATGACATGGGAGATGAAGACTCACTTGCCAAGTGTTTGCCTGCATCTTTCCAGAAAACCTGACATCAGCTCCTTCAGAGCTCGGCAAAGTGCACCATCTTGCCAGCCGAACACAACTGGTTCGTTTGAATTACAGTAACTTTGACAAAAAGTAGTGCACCTTTGCCTCTATTGGCAGCCAAGGTGCCGTGGCATCTGTACTGTGCAATTCTGAACATAACAGTTCAATCATGCCTTTGCGGTACGAAACTCGCGCCCCTTCTCACTTCACCAAACTCCTGAGCAGTGACACGGAGCGGTTCTTGGCTTCTCCCGCTCACAGCTCACCAAGGTCATTCTGAATATCTTTCTCTCTCAAAAAATTATGATGACGACTGCCTTTGCTTGCAGCATCCTGTGTTACCTGCTGTGCAGCTGAGATACACGGTCTGACGATGGCGGCTGGGCTATGGTGGAGGAGGCACGTCTGAAGATGTCTTTCATCTCTTCCTTCATCCTAGTGTCACCTAGGCCAGCAAGCTTGCTAGCAACTTGCTGGCATGCAGCACGGGCCTTCAGGTTCAAGTTAAATCTATGCCCCAGAAACGTTGTAGCGAGCCAAAAATGGGTTTGTTCTTAGCGGGATCTCCTTTGAGCCCCTTTGCCAACAACTTAAAACACTACATTGCATGCAGAAACGACACGTTGCGAAAGCGGAGAATGTGACACACTGTGGTCCGGCCCATCCACCAATCTGGATCACTGTGGTGTGCATTCTGCTAGCTCTGATTGAGGGGCCTGGTATTCAGCTCTCAACACTTCAAGAAACATAGACCGACTTGTGACTTATAACCGCTTATGTAAGAGCTACCCAGGCGTGCCACCACTTGCACCCGAGTCCAACATGTCAGGAGGCCAAAGTTCTGGTGGAAGGTCACCAGCTCCTCTTTGCCTGGGTGTTGCGTGCGGTATTGCACTACCCCACAAAGTCTAGCACGACGCCATCTCCTGGCTATCCAGATTCACTACAGGACTGACTGGCTCGTTTCTCTTCACAAAAGGGCGGGGCCAAAAGGAGCTGCACTGCACTGCCAAGCGTTTTTTGGCTCTTGAAACTCCAAGCTTTATTTGTTAAAGCCCGGGGGGTTAAGCCGTAGAGGGAGGTAGTAGCTAGGTAGCTAGTAAGCTAGTAGCTTCAGTAGCTACTACCTAGGACACAGGATAGCTCGCGCTTCTTCAAGGAAGCTCCCTCCGCCTGAGGGCGAGGGGGAGCTTCCATTCATTTGGTTCCTAGATGTTAGGGAAACTTAACTTCTGCGGCCTGTTGTTCCTTCTTGTCCTCGACCCCAACCATGGTCAAGCTACGCTCGAACAACTGTTCCTTGAGCTGCTTTTGCACATACCACTCCTGGAAGTGGCCGCAAGTGAGGAGTCCCTCCTGGCCAGTGGAGCATGTGACATGTGCGCAGCGATCTGGTGCTCTAATAATACAACATGTTCCAACTGGCCAAGTTACATTTCAGAGCCTTGCAGCAATTACAAAGAACAAGTATGTCATCTTACAAAGGATCAAGTTAGATTGGTCCAGAATCAGAATCTAGGGTGTTGTTTCACCTCATGGATGCAAGGAATGATCTATATCTAAGGCAATTGCTGTAGACTCAACTCTCCGGTCCTCAGGGTTCTCCCATATTTCGGTGCACAAATGAGAACTTCCCCGCAAACCATGCCAGGTGGACCCTTCAGAATCTGCTGACATGTACTGAAGCGATTCCAAACAGTCAAACCAACATTCTCAGGCTTGCCTCACCTAGCTCGTAGCAGTGGGTCCGGTCCTTGTCTTTCTTTCTCAAGGACTGGCCGACCACATCGATCAAGCTTCCTTGCAACCATGCCAAACAACTAGGAAGGCTCTCTCTGGTCAGAAATCCACCTGCCTTCAAATGCCTTGGGATGCCGTGCAGTTCTCAATGCGTCACCCCACGCATTGTACTTGCACCTTCTTTGAATCAAACTGCAACACGTTCGTTCGTGCCTGGCTGCACCCGACTACATGGACATAGCTGGTACAAGTATTGGTGCGCATTTCAGCCTTCAATCTGGGTGACAGCTACAAGCAAGCCTCTCTAAAAGGTGCAATCTAGGTCCGGAATTGCGGAAACATGGATCGTGGTCCCATTTCGCCAAGTATCGATGGAAAGCAGACATGCCTTTGGGTAGGTCTTTCCACACTGGCGGCTTCACAATCACCTCAATGGCCATGCGAGATCAGCCTCCACCCTCCCACATTGAACTTTGGGATTGGCTAAGTAATGTGGTCCTCTGATTAATACACCCCCCCGGAACAATATCAGCAAATTTCCCTGCACTTATATATATATATACAGTAGAGATAAAGGCGGGGGGGTAGTGATATTTTGGTGATAAAAACTTGTTTTATTGGTGTGTTTTGGTTTGTCCCTCTCTGGCTCAATGATTTTGAAGATCTTTGCATGCAGATGTCCTCAAAGATTTGAGAATTTCATTGAGATTTGGTGATGTTGAAGGTCTTTGGATGGAGATGTCTATTAAATTTTGAGATTTCCATTGGGAGTGGAAGGTCTTTGGATGCAGATGTCCATTGAGAATAGGAGATATCCATTGAGAGTTGAAGGTCTTTGGACGCAAATGTCCATTGATAATTTGACATTTGCATGTTGGGTGTCTTGTTTCCTTTCATTTTTTATATTGCAAATGTCTTCAATCTTAGGTGTGTGATTCCTTTTATTTTATTATTGCAGATGTCTTCAATCTTGATTCCTTTCATTCTAGTATCGCCAGAGTGGCTCCAGAGGCGGCTAAAATTGGATTATATATTGTTGTTTCATCAATGGATTGGTGTTCTATCATATTATTCTAGGGTCTCCAATTGTTGAGGGGTGGAGGGGGTTTGATTCATCAAGAGTCAACATTATGGAAGGCTAGCCCAGTAGCAAAGGATACTCAATGTCACCTAGCCTCATAGTCCGTGGCCCCATGTCACCCACCGAGACACTCCACCCGGCACGGTGTAGCGCGGGCAGGTTTCGAAGATCCAGCCGTCTGCAGCCATGCGCTGCTTTCGCCGCTCCTCGGCCGCCTCTAAGGAGGAGGACGAGGCCTCCGCGTTGGGATTGAAACAATGAAGTGATGGCTTGTCATCTTACTCTTCACTAGCCCACTGCAACACCAACTCTGACAAACCACACTGACACTTCTTTGCTGCTAAGCATTTATTGCCTGCAACGCTAAAGGGAGCTCTGCTGGCTCTCCAGTAAGTCTTTGCTCTTGATTCTTGACACATTAGGCCCATGAGTTTGATTTGCTTGCCGTGCCTCCGCCAAGAAACAAAGCTGCGCAAGCCGTCATTCATTTCTTGCTGTGAGATTTCGCAACAAAAACGAGGGCCCAGTTGCAAGAACTAGTGCAATGTGGAAAGTTGTTTGGTGGAGGGTGCCGGAGGGTGCACTCACCTCCTTCAACTTTTTCAAGCGTCGCGGCAGGGCCTGCAGCAGTCGAACCCTAGGCAGCGAGTTTAACTAGGCAGCGAATTTAACTCAAACTCGAGGAAGCCCAATGACAACTTCTTATCACCATGCGAAAAGTGAAGCCAAAGTGCTCTCAAAAAAACCGCTCAAGGTCGCTCAAAAAATCATCTAAAAAAACAGCTTGTGCCCCTGGACCTTCCGCTTTCGGCTCATGGACCGTGAGGGTTGTGGGCTCTGCGACCGTGAGCCACAACTCATCGAGCGTTGTGGGCTCTGGGGCGAGCGAGGCGATGAATGAGATGAGAGCGTCTTGGAGCAGTGAGCCCTGGCGCCTGCAAGGACTCTGCTTTGTTTGCACGAAGCAGGTCCTTTGACACCCTTACAAACATGAAGTTGTCATCAAAAACCCTTACCTTGCCTGAAGGCGGCGCTTTCAAAACCCATGGCTTCCCATGAAGGGCGCAGAGCTTGCCATGCAAGCTGCCCACTGCATTCACCCGCCTAAGCCACGCGCTTCGCCCAGGAGAACACTATGCTGAGGGTGGCCCCAAGAATGACCAAACTTGCTTCAATGACAGGAGGTCACCTGCCTCCAAAATGCAGAACTGGAAGCAGTTTGGGATGCACCCACATCAGGGACAAATTGGATGCCTCTACCATGTCAAAGACTGTCCCACTGACTCATCTGACTTTACGTCTGCCAACCCTGCATTCTGCTGCAACATTCACTTGGTGACGGGAAGACTCAGTCACAGAGGAAATATGGCGTTCAACTGCGGAAGCCAGAACGTATTATATCTGTATATACAGTATGTTCTCTGAAGCTCTGGTCCAATGCCACTCCACAACTCTATGACTATTTAGCAACATATTGGGAACAGGAAACGGCGCGTTTCAATCACTATCTTGTGTGACTCATTGTGGTTCCATCTTGTGTCTAGGGTCCCGTATGGCTCCGCCCTGCACCTCGCACCTCGTCCTGAGTTCCCGCATCTCGCGCGTCAACTCTTCATGACGTTGTGAGGCCTGCACATTGGCTGTCAACCCCTGTAGCGACCCAAAAGCTCGTGGGATTCCGGTTATCAACACACACACACACACTCTGACTCTGACATTGGTTTTCAGTTAGCTCAATTCCCACGTCGAGTCGAGAAGGAAGGTGAGGGAACAGCAAGGTGAAAGAGTCGGCGACAACAGTCTGGTTTAACCGTGCTTTCCGTCAACTCAGCAAAACTTAAAAGTTAAGCAGGTACAGGTGGATGATCAGTCCACCCCTCCCTCGTCATACCGTAGCTTCATTGCGTACGGTGGGTATGACGAGCCGTACGCCCCTGCCTCTTTTTGCGTGAAGAAACTGCAAGTTAGTAGCGATACCAGAAGCCCTTAGTAGCAGAACCAGGGGCCCCAGTAGCATCCTGTACGACTCAAAACCTTAGGCACAGGTGTGGACACACACACGAAGCCGTACTCGGCGCGCTGACCCTTGCTTGCAGTTTAGTAGCGTGGCCAGGAGTCGCAAGTAGCGTCCTTACAACCTGGTAGAACCGTCCTAGAAGCCCCTAGTAGCATCATTGGTGTCCGCTGGTCGCAAAACTTTGTACATAAAGCGCCAATATTGGCGCTTTTTATGTTGAAAACTACTAGCGACCTAAAAAGCCTTAGAAGGACAGAAAAAGCAAACAAAACAAAAGCAGGCTAAGAGGGCAAGAAGGAAAGATAGGTGTAGTTACGAGGCCCACTTAGTTACATGAAAGTAGAACGCGAGCGGGACCTTTGGTCTTAAACCGCCCGGGTAGCTAGCAATAGAGTAGGGGAAACGGAAGGAAAGGCACCAACACACAAGTGTGTTGAGTGCGATTTCCTTCCGTTGCCCGAATAGCGGGTGGGATAGCAACCGAGGCCCAGGGGTAGGGAGGGTGGCCTGTAGGCCTTGCCATCATTGGCTTTGCCATCATTGGCTTTCAAGTGTGGCCGATTGGGCCGGCGCACCCTTCTCTGAAAGACACCTGGAACCTAAAGAAAGGCCTCAAGAAACGAAAAGCAACAAAAGGAGAGAAAGAACCGAAGAGCATGAAAAACATGTAACAAAGGCACCGTGCGTACACCCGCCTGTGAATACTTAGACGCATGTTTCCATGTGAAATCAGGGTTCAGTAATCGAAAGGTGGTAACCGTATTAGCCCGGCGGCTCGAAAGGTGGTTAATTCAGTGGTGAAACGAAGGCGCATCATTGGTGTCCGCTGGTCGCAAAACTTTGTACATAAAGCGCCAATATTGGCGCTTTTTTGGTTGAAAACTACTAGCGACCTAAAAAGCCTCAGAAGGACA